GTTAATTAGCGCAAGTCTTTCCAGTGGCAGACGTACGTCCATTTGGGGACAGAGGGACCCGTGTCCTCTCAACAATGACTTCTTTAACAGACACTCAACTCCATCATCGCCGGGTTTGGAACCCGCAACCCTTGAAACCAGCAGAATATAAAACAACATAAATAGAGTTCTGATATTTCACTTTTAGAAAAATAACACAAACCTTAACAAACGTTTAACGTTCGATCCCTCGACCTTCCTGCTGTAAGGCAGCTATGCTAACCGTTCATCTGCCACAGCGTTCTCTCTAACAATCAGAAGAAGATATAATTTACTCCTAATTTTGTTTTTATCAACAATAATATTTTGTAAATAATTTATGTTCAAATGAATCTGGGAAAATAAATCCATGTAGCCTCCAGATTCAAACGGTACGCTAGAAAATTAGCCTGTTAGAGGCGTTTCAGTGAGAAACAAGTACGTGGTGAGCTAGCATCTAGTGCATTAGCGGTACGTTAGCGCAGATACTGTACAATTCAGGTCTTCATCGAGGCTAAACCAGGCTAACTCTGCTAGTACCGTTAGCCTCACTTCTTTGGTCTTCGCCGGACGACGCAAGTCTTTGGAGTTGTCACACCGGCCTTAAAAAAAATAAAAATATTATGGTGAAATAATTTGACCCTGGTGTGACCAGGTGTGACCAGGTGTGACCCTGAGAACCTGAGTGGACAGAACAGTGTCCAGTGTCAGGACAGAACCGATGAAAAGTCTTTGTGAAAAAAATGGTAGAGCAGCAGCGGAGGACAGAAGGATGATGGGGGACGAGGACAGAGGACAGGTCAGTCAAAAAGTCCTCAGACAGATGTGTCCAGTGTTACCGTCTCTAACCAGTTCAGACCGGTCTCCACCGGCTGTGACCAGTTTTATCGTCGTATCTTTGTCCAGAGTTTTTTTATTTCCGTAGTGGAAACCGTGGAAGTGACTCATTTACATCGCACTCCACTCTTCAGACTGTGGGGGCAGTGTACGTGTGGAACAGGGAGAGAAGGAGGGAGCCAGGAGGAGAGGGTGGGGAGTGTGTGTGGTTGTGCTGGTATGTGGGCAGTGGGGGAGGTCGCCGGTCGGACCGTTGAAAATTCCACACCTTGGAATACCATATGGATTTAAACAACTCCCACCTCATTCACTACCTCAACACTTTACTAAGAAAAAAAAGTGTTTCTCATGAGGCCGCGCCACAGTTTGAGCCACCTGTAACTTTGACATAAAAGATTTATATTGAACCCCCTCCCCCCCTTTAATCTATACAGTACAAGGTCTGGACACTGAGAGGAGTGGGCAGCTGCTGTTGTTAGCATTAGCATCTTCCTCCTCCTCCTCCTCCTCACTGGAGGGTCTGTACCGATGACTGGACCCAGCAGTGAAGACCACCTCAGCAGACAGACTGAGGTACTGCACCACATGAACTACTTGTCACTGTGACACACCACTGCACCACTGCACCACTGCACACAACCTCTGCTGGTGGAATCAAACCTTAAACCTTCCAGACCCAAGTCCACTTCCTTAACCACTAAGCCACCTGCTGCCCGTGTCATTTTTATACAGTGATACATTTTTATAGGACGACACATTAGCGGCTTTACCCACCTAACCATCTCATCGACTAAGCTCTACGTTTTTAGAGCTAAACTTAAGAACTTAACTAGTTAGCTCCTCACCCCCCCATTTCACCAAAGACTTCTGTCACATTCCTACAGACGGAGAAACGACTCAGTTCAGGATTGTCGCGCCCTGATTGGTGGATCCATCTGTGACGGCTGACTGGTTTAATCTCAACTTCAGACTCAAACTGTTCGTTCACATTTAGCCCAGGACTGTTAAAAATACCTCTTCCTCTCCCACGGCCCGTAGGGGGCGAGCAACCACACAGCGAGGTCACGCACGATGGAGGGAGGAGGGAGGAGGCTCCGGAACCAATCACGTATGCGTCTGATCCCCATGTTGGAGAGCGTGTCGATCTTAAAAAGTGCTGAGCTCCACGACACGGTGGACCGGCGTCAGGCCTTCGTGTGACACACAGGTCAAAGGTCAGGCTTAACTGGACCAAGAACTCTAACCGTCACCACGTTGACACGCCCGGACGCAGCTCCAACTACCGACACACGACACCGGCGCGGTCCGCCACAGAGCCGATCCAGTAACTCATCAGGACAAAGGGTTCTCACGCGTTGAGAGGAGCTGCCGGAACATTCCAGAATCACAGACGGGCAGACGCAGTGTGTGACCAGTACAGACAGCTGTTACCACACATCAAGTCAAAAACACAGAGAGTCCAGAGTCCAGAGTCCTGGACCAGGGACCGGACCATGGTTCAGACTCAGACCACAGCTGCAGCCAATCAGAACTGGTGTGAGCTGAGATACAGACTTTCATTATTAGGATTGATTAAAAAA